TCAAGAAGCATTTGTCAGAACAGAGCCAAGAAACACCAAATGGTTCAAAATTGGGAAGGGTGTACGCCAGGGATGTGTCCTATCTGTGTATCTTTTCAATCTATATGTAGAACAGATAATCCAGGGGGTTGGGCTCTATGAGGAGAAGTGTGACATCAGGATTAGAGGAAGATTCATCAACAATCTGCATTATACAGATGATACAACACTGCTTGCTGAAACTGAGGAAGACCTGAAGCACTTGCTACAGAAGGTCAAGGACTGTAACCTTAAATATGGATTGAAGCTCAGTATAAAGAAAACAAAGATTCTCACCACTGGGCCAACTGGCAGCATCATGATAGATGGTGAAGAGATTGAGACTGTTAACAGCTTTAGTTTGCTTGGCTCCACAATCAACACTCTTGGTACCAGCAGTCAGGAAATAACGATGAATTGCACTGGGAAAGTCGGCTGTCAGAGACCTCTCCTAAGTACTGAAGAACAGTGTCAGTCTGGAGAATAAGGCACGCCTGATACAGGCCATGGTCTTTGCAATTATTTGCTATGCATCAGAAAGATGGACAATGAGTAGGGATGATAGAAGAACAATTGATGGCTTTGAGCTGTGGTGCTGGAGAAGAGTACTGAATATACCATGGACTGCTAGGAGAACATGTTGTCTTAAAGAGGGTGAAACCAGGCTGCTCCTTGGAGGCAAGGATTCTGAGGCTTCGTCTCACATACTCTGGGCATGTTGCAAGGAGAGACAGCATAAGAAAGGAAGACCCTCAATGAGATGGATTGAGTCACTGACTAGGGTAATGGGAGTAGGTGTGTCAGACAATAAGGTTGGCACAGGACAGAGAAAGGTATAGTGCTATGGTACACAGCGTCACTTTGAGTGGCAAGCAACTCGACAGCGTATAACCATATGCTGAAATATACATCCCTCTCCCACAAAGAAACTTTAATACCAGGCAGTATGTAACAGAGGATTTAAAATTTAAATTTGTGCCTGTCATGTTTTGGTACCCACATATGCCATTTCTCTGATATCTACAAGCACACAAGCAGCAGCTGAGGCTAAATGTCTATTTAATCTAGCTTTGTTACTTGGCAAGGCATCAGGCATTTAAAAGGTGCAACAAAGAAGATAATTTTAGGAAATCTTTTGTACTTAAAATACCACAATCAGGTAAATTTTCTTGTAATTTTTTAAAATTTTATTCTTGTGTGTGTGTGTGTGTGTGTGTGTGTGTGTGTACCATCAAGTCAGATCTGACTGGTATAGGAGATTGCCCCTCCTTCTCCAGCAGAGCATCTGGAGGACTCAAACTGTGTACCTCTGGGATTGGAGTGCAGCATCTTGCCATCAGGCCACCTGAGCTCCCTTATAATTTTTTAAAATATCTATTGATTTAGTAATCTTGGGAAAGGCTGAATGTTTTTATTTTTGAGGAAAGACTTACGAATCATAATGGTTTTATAATCATTCATAGACATTATAAAACTATAATCACCACTAATTAGTACAATTAGCTACAATGTCCAATCAACCCCTTATTATATAATACAGTAAAATTTTCAAAGCACTAGCGGTTTTGACTAATATACTATAAATGCCTCTAAAAATCTTAGTTTTCAGAATACTACTTTCATCACATGATCTATGATGCAACAAATGGAAATCAAGCACCAAGTTATTATTGGCCTCCTTCACTGAACACAACACCTACGCACTCAATTAGACAAATGTTATTTACTGATTTTTTAAATAATACATGACATCTATAAACAAAGTGACAATCTCCAATATATTCAGGCTGTATGCTTCTCATGTATTTATCCTACTTTATTGCAAATTTTGCATTATCATTTATACACACATATACCCATCTATAACTGATGTGAGAATTTAGAATTTCTTACATGAAAACAAATTGTGGAACAATTAAAATAGTTCCTTCAAATTTGGTAAAATGTAATTTCACTTACATTTCAGTTGCAAAATGAAGAGAAAAGAATGCTAACTTACTTTCTGAAAACATGATAAGCTTCAAACTAAAACACAAAGCAGGCTTTATAATAGTTTTACCTTTAAAAAAAGCAAGTATATTTACAATTACAATATTCACAGTAGTACTGGTGTCAATTCAGAATTCTTATAACCCTTTATTTCACTTGAAAAGGTAAAATATGTTTGCATGTCTTGTTTCACTCTGTTGTTTTAAGGCAATTAGGTTCTTACCCGGTGTACTGCACAACCAATGGCTATTCAAAATGAATACAGAACACCTGACATGCCCATGCCAATTCTCCAAACATAGGGGAGGGATACAGAAGGAAATGCAACAACTCAACATTAACAAAACGTATAGCCCAGGAATATGTTGAAAATGAAAAAGAAATAACACAAATAGCTTAAGTTATTCTGACTGGGACACAATTAATAGGAAAAAGAACTATGACAAAACCGAACACTGGGAGTGTTAGGGCGGAGATTAGGAAGAGCAGAAATTGAGTTGTTGTGCTAGAGGGTGAGCTTCTCTCAAACACAGAAGGCAGGCCTGGGATAAGAGGAGTCATTAATGCTCACGTTGTTTGGTGCCACTGAGTCAATTCTGACTCACATAACCCCTAGGAACAATGCATCTGAACGTTGCCCAATACTGTGCCAACCTCATTATTTCTGACATACTGTTACTATCACCGTGCTAATAATCCACCTCCTTAACAGTTTTCCTCTTTTTCTGACTCCTCTACCTTTTCAAGCATGAAGTCCTTTTCCCAGGACCATTCTTTCCCAACATGCCCAAAATATGCAAGACGAAGCTTCACCACCCTTGCCTTCAAGGAGCACCCCGGTTGCATTTTCTCCAAGACATTCATTTGGTTTTTGTCCTAAGTACTGAAAATTGTAGGGCCCACGAGCCAATAGGCTCAGGCTGGGCGTCCTCACTCAGCACAATCACACAGAAGAGCCATAAAATTAAAAGTTTATCCTAAATTGATAATACTGTATTTTCCCTTCAAATAATCAAAGATATTTTCATGTTCTCAACAGTCACACTTCCCATTCTTCTTAAAAGAACACACTTTTTTGCATACACATAATAGTCCTTTAATCGACACTGGGCCTCCCTAAGAGATTAAAAGAAAAACGCTTCCTTCTTGTTGTTGTGTACCATAGAGTCAGAACCGACCCACAGCTGAGGCTCCGGCAGGTTTTCAGAGGTGGTTAACCCCTAGGAGGAGACGGTCCATCCTTCTCCCACACAGCAGCCGTTGGCCTGGAACCACCTTTGGGACTGCAGCAGAGCTTCTTGACACTCGGCCACCAGAGCTTCCTAAAAATGCTTTACTGAGTTTAAAATTCTGTACTCTAACTAGCCTTCATTCAGGAAATCAGTCAACCAATCAGGAGTTTCTGAGAAATCATTATTTGGGGTGCCCACACCACTGTCACCAAGTCAATTTTGATTCAAGGCAATCCTCCATGGAGCTTTTAAATCTCAATGGGAGGAAAGCATCCTTTTAACTCTTGGAGCAGATGGTGCCTTTGAACTACTGGCTTTTTGGGGAGCAGCACGACATGCAAGCCACCAGTTCTCCTTGACACTGAGGGCAGAGAGACCTAAAATAGGGAGTTGCTTAAGAGAAGCCACGCTTACCAAGGGGTAGGGGACAACCATAGACTATGTGACATGACTGCTTCGATGAGTTCTTAATCCTATTTGCATTTTCAACTTCACATAAAATGCTTTGTTCCCACAGGGCACACACACAAGAAAACGGTGTCACAGCAGTATTATATATATATATACATATATATATATATATATATACATGTGGCCTTTTACTACACATGTGCATAACCTCATTTATTGACCTAGAATAGCTTTCAAAAGCATAAAATCATTAAACAATCTGTGGTGTAAGGCTTAAAATAGGTAACAGAAACTGGGCAGATCAAAGTGTGAATAACTCTTTAAACCAGTGATAAAAGTCCCTTCTAGGTTTGGACGAACTGCCATTTTCTCAAACTCTCAAAGATTGTGGATTATAACCTGTCTCCTTACAGTTCCCTGATTTTTGTGTGAACAAAATGGACAGAATCACACCAAGCTTGTTCCCCGTTTCTTGAACCACCAATTTTAAAGCTCTGTTCATAAACTCTAAATACACAGTACACATGCCCACGCTACTTACAGCCAGTGATGCTTTGGAACTGCAGGTGACAGATGCAGGCAGGGAGCTTACAGATGTGGGCTGGGTGCACTCGGGGTGTTAAAATAAGCCCCACTGACAGTCGGCTGATGCACACATCTTGGCAGAAGCACCCATTTTTAACTGGCACAATCTCTGAGAGATTGACTTTTCGGGCTATTCCTGAGGGTTTTTCTTGACTCTCATCCCATTGTCCTACCTACACTTTTCTTTCCCTCTGTTCTAGATCGTTCTTCCCCAAACCTGGCTTTGTTTTAAAAATCTAATAATAAAATGAAGAGGGGTTGCGAGTCTGGCCAGAACCAGAAAGCTGCGAAGCTGAACAGCGTTCGCGCCGCTGCAGCGAGGCCGCTGGAAGTTTTCAGAGAAGCAACGGACCCCTAGCACCTTTCCACGGGGTCTTCTGGGGGAGGGCTCGAGCGAGAAATTGGGGACTCCCCCTTCTCCTGTCTTTCCCAGTTGTGGCTAACACCAAAAAGAAAATTCCTCTCTTCTTATCCCACAGCGGCTCGCTAATGCTCTAGGCAGTGACGCCCCACCCCCACCCCACACCCCGTTATCCCCAGAGATATCCTCAAATATCGCCCCTGTCCTCCTCTAAACTAGACCTTCCTTCCGCTCCCGGACTCACAACCCAGAGCCTCACATCCGAAGGACTGACCCCTTCCCGCTCCCTCCAACCCGGCCCCGGCCCCACGCCGGCCCTGCACCCCGTCGCCCCGCACCCGGCTGCACTCAGGCCGTTCAGCCGCCCGCGCTCCGCCCCCGCCGAGAGTCGCCAGCGGGGTTACCGTGGGAAGAGGGGTCTGCGGCACAGGACTCGGCGGCAGCGCTCCTGCCGGTGGCGTCGGACGCGAAGGATAAGCCGAAGGACAAGAATGATGATGAGGCGGGCGCGTTCCCCAGTCTCCATGGAACTCCCGCCCCGGCCCGTTGCTAGGAGCCCCCGAGGCTCAGGCTCCCTCTTTCGTGCTTTGTTGTTCCGGGTACGGGGCGGCCGCCGCTTCCCCGCGACAATAAATAGAGGAGACGCGCAGGAGCATAGAGACAGCGCGCGCTGGCTAGAGCGCCGCCGTCCTGGGCGCTCCTTCGTTCCTCGCTAGCCAGTTATTTCCGGTTCTCACTGCTCCGGTCGCTTTGCCCCTCCCTTAATCTCTTCCTCTTTTTGGATCGGCAAAGCGGCCGTTTTCATCCTCCAGCTTGGCTGGTTTGTGCTTGTATGTGTTAAAGGATGGAGTAGCCTTTCTTCCTACGGCAGCGGACTAGCCTTTATAGCTATATATCTATAAGTAAAAGATTTATATTAATATATGTGTATATATTAGTGTGTGTATACACACACACAGTTTTGAGTTGAGAACCGCTTAAAAAGATTCTGAAAAATCTCATGTTCCTTGTTACAGTCTTTAGTTGAAAACCTGAACGTGTGTTCGCTGTCTCCTGTTTGTGTGTTATGAAGGGACTTTTAAATTTTGTTGGCAAAGCATTAGAACTTTCCCTTAGCTCGTTCAGTTTCTCGAAAAGGTTCACTATTTAACGTAGTTGGTAAAGCTAACCCCGAACGGCTAGATGAAACTTATATTGGGTTTGAAATACTTCTCTTTTTCCTTCCCCCAGTTAAACGTATTAGTTAGGCGGTCGCAATAAAGATGCCGCTGATTTCTAAACCTAAAAACACAGTGATTCTGTGCCGTGGTGGAGTCAGAACCGACCCTAGCTGACCCTTCAGCGGCTTTTCAGAGGCAGTAAATAGCACCCAGTGATAGGAGACAGGTGGGTGAATAACAAGGAAGAGGACTGCTGCCACATTTGTCACCTGCCCTGCGGATATTCCTTACGGAACTTGGGTTTGTGGTCAGGTCTCCCCGGGCGCCTGCAGGGCTTGGGAGCTTCCTCCAGGTGCAGGCGGTGGGAGGTGGCCGAGGGCAGCGGGCAGCACAGGCCGTCGGAGGGGGAAGGCGCTCACATGATAGCCAGGGTCGGAGGCTTTGCGTCAGGAAAGCCCGGGAATCATACAGGGAACCCCGGGCGCATCGATGCCAGTTGGAACCGCCACTCTGGGAACCGAGCGCGCCCTTGGGACTTCTCGGGAGTGACCTGCAAGGCGCTGCCCCTGTAACGGCTTCAGAGAGGCTGCGTGACAGAACCCGGAGACCCCTGCTTCCAGGCCTGCCCGCATGGTCCTTGCACCCCAACCAGGAGAGTCGCTAGATAAGCCATTAAGCAACCCTAATTTAATATTAGGCCACGAGGCGGACTTCATGTATGCCTGGACTTTGACTGGCATGAATCGAGGATGAAAAATTATAAAGCCACTGCCTTTTTAGCAGAGGCAACACAGACTGAATTCTAAGAGATTTATGTCTAATTATGTACAGAGCCTAAACATGTCCCTTTTCACTTTGTTCTGGGGAAAAAAAAAAAAAAAACAAACCCAAGCTTTTAAAAATATTCACACACTTAAAAACTAAATAGAACGAAAACATTTCTATTTTGTTTCTATTTCTTTCCTAATTTATTGTTTGAACATTGTTATGTGCTATCTTGTCCATTTTAAGAGAGCTCTGATGGCGTAGTCCTGCAGTTAATTAAAATATCAAGTCTTTGGTTTGAATTCACTTTGAGCTTCTTCGAAGAAGGCCTACAGCCTCTGCTGCTATTTACAGACCCAAAACTCAGCTGGAGGGTCAATTATGAATTAAACCAAACCAGCTGGAGGGTCAACTATGAGTCAGTTTTGACTCTGAGGCAATGAGTAAGCAATTGAATGAGTGGAGTGACCCCAGGTGACAAAGTAGACCTGCTCTGCAGGCTTTTCTAGGCTGTAATCTCAACTTTTGATCACAGTTTTTTATCCTATCAAGCAGAGGAGGGGTGGATTCCAATTTAGACCTGTTAGTTTGTAAGCACTACTGGGGCCTCCTATTATTTGAATAACCAAAAACCAAACTAAAATTCACCATCTCCAATTCATAATGAACCTCCTGGGAGTAGATTACAGATTGCATAATCTCTCAGCAACACAATGCTTAACTACTGCACCTTCAGGGGTCCTCTTTGTTTGAATGATAAATAATTACAGATTATGTTAGGTGTTGTGAAGGAAATAAACAAGAGCCTGGGTTAGAAAGTAGTATCTCTTCTGTAGTGTAAAGAGGGCTTTTTGTTGTTGTTAGGTATGCTTGATTTCCGGTACCACTCATAGCAGCTCCATGAACAACAGACCTGAAACCTGTCCTATCCTGTGCCATCCTCACAATCTCTGATACATTTTAGCTGAAATCTAGAGGAAATTGGGGGGGGGGGGAGGCTCTAGGCAGGGAGAACAAGATGTGCTAAGAACTTAAAGTGCTAGAGTGATAGTGTGGGTGGCTGGGTGGCTGGGGCATCTTGAGTGGAACAAAAGGAAAAGCATAAAATGATGTAAGAAACCATAGCCTTAAGCCTAAACGAAACCTAAATCAAATCATGACTTAAAAGACAGTATAGATTTATCATATAAGTTTGGCTTTTCTTCTAAGTTTTAGGGGAAGTGAAGAATTTTAAACTAGTGAGTGGGGTGCCTTAGGTTAAGAAGGAAGTAAGAACAAAAGTGCTGTTCCACAGGAGCAATGAATGATTTTTTAAATTATTATTTAAAATTTTATCCTGGTTTGTTTACAAAGTTTGAATGCATTTTTTTCATACCAGGTCTTTCCTATTTCCTCCATCTTCCTGTGCCCCCATCAAATTGTGGAACCCCATGACTACCACCACCTCCCACCCCCACTCATCTCATCCCTCTGCTTCCACCCTCCCCCGCTTTGAATCCTCATACTTATTCTACAATAATGGTCCTCTACAGTATTTGTCCTGATGGGACTGACTCAGTTCACTCAGCGTAATGCTTTCCAGACCCTCCCAAGTTAGGAAGTGATTTACTACATCATTGCTTTTGGGTGCTGAGTAGTATTCCATTGTGTGAATATACCATAATTTCTCAATCCATTCGACTGTGTTTGGATATTTGGGCTGTCTCCACGTTCTTGCGATGGTGAATAACACTGCTATGAACATTGGTATACAAGTGTCAGTTTGTGCCTCAGTTCTCATTTTCTCAGGGTATATTCCAAGCAGTGGAATAGCTGGGTCATATGGAATTTCTATATTCACCTTCTTTAAGGAAGTGCCAAACTTCCTTCCAGAATGGTTGCACAATTTTAAAATCCCACCAACAATGTATAAGAGTTCTTATCTTGCCACATCCGCTCCAACGTTTATTACTTGCTGTCCTGTTAAACTTGGCCACAGGTGCAGTGATTTTGGGAGGGACTGAAGAGAATAATGCTTAGTGAACTAACTCACTCCAATAAGGACAAATACTGTATAAGACCATTATTGTAGAACATGTATGAGGATGCAAGAAGGGGGAGGGTGGAAGTAGAGGGGTGAGGATGGAAGTGGTAATTACAGGGTTGCACACTATGATGGGTGGAGGGAACGGTTGGCAAAGGAAATGGGAAATATCCAGTGTGAAAAAAAATGTATATGAACTTTATAAGTAAAGCAGCGTAAAATAAAAATTTTATTTAAAAATTAAAGTTTATAAATTTTAATTTAGAAGACTGAACAGCTAGATGTACAACTCTTTAAAAAAAAGTGCTGTTCTGTTGGTTGATTATGACTGCTGACCGTTCACTGTTACACCTTTCATTCATGCTCTCATTGCAGAGGAATCTGAGTAAGTTGTAATTAGTTAACTCTCTCCATTGAGTTCCCAAGGCTGTAAGTTGCATGGGAGGAGACTGTCCATTTTTCTCCCATGGGGCCACTAGTGGATTCCAACTGCCAGAGAAGTACAGCCATTAAGGTAGCTATGCAACTCCCTATAGAGTACACCACCAGAACTCCCTTATACTATAGCTGTTGTTATGTGCCTTCAAAGTAGAACTGACTCAGACCCTCCAGTGGGTTTTTAGAGGTAGTAAATTGCGTGGGAGAAGATTGCCCATCTTTTTCCCCATGGAGCAGCTGGTGGATTAGAACTTCAACCTTTTAGATTGGCGGTGCCACTCCTTTATCACTGAGCCAGCAGAACTCTAATGTTTTCGCAGCATTGATGAATTTCAAGATCCTTAAAAGGAAGCCTTCCTCCAGGGAGCAAACACTCTGCTTGGCATGTTATTTGTTGTTGATAAGTGCCACTGAGTTGAGTACAACTCATAGTGACCCTATGAACAACAGATCTGAACCCTGGCATGAAGCATGTAAATCTTTGGATCTCTTTTGTTAGGAGTGAATTAACAATTTGTCCCACTATAGTAGTTCTTCTTTCTAGAATTAGATTTGGTTTGTTGTCAGGGCCACTCTGCTTGACACTATGAAATACTTGTAGATTGTTATGTTATCCTTTACAGTATTGTTTGGGCCAAGAAATTCCCTTCACAGTGTACAAAGCAGAGGAATGGATAAAGAAAGCCATAGGCTTCACTAGGCTTGTTATTGTTAGGTGCCCTCGGGTTGAGTATGACCCATAATGACTCTATGAACAACAGGATCCTATCCTATCCTCTGTCATCTTCTTCAACTTTGACATACTTGAGTCCATTGCTGCAGTCACTGTGCCAATCCACCTCACTGAGGGTCTTCTTCCCCTTTGCTAACTCCTCACATTTCTATTCCCCTTTCTAAGGAATATTCCTTCATAACAACATGCACAAACTATCTGACATGCAGATTCACCACCCTTGTCTCCAAGGAGTGTTCTGGGTGTACTTTCTCCAAGACATATCTATTCATTCTTTTTGAAGTTCATGGAATATTCAGCACCCTTCTCCAATGCCACAGTTTGAAGGTATCAATTCTTCTGTCATCTTATGAATTGTACAAAATTGTCCAATGTATAGCATGAATCAGGTGTACCTCAGTCTTTAAACTGACACATTTGCTCTTTAGTATTTTGGAGCAGTCCTTGACAGCAGACTTTCCCAAATGCAACATGTCTTTTGATTTCTTCACTGTCAGTAGCAAAAGTGTTGATTGTGGATTCAAGTAACATGAAATTGTTGACAACTT